CTTTCCCTTCCCAAGAGAGACAGGGGCCGCGTGCTCTGGCCCGCCTTCGCCCCGCCCTGTGGACAGGCTGCAAGAAGCTGCAAGAACCCAGCACCACCCAGCAGCTGACCGGCCCACGGCCCTGCGTGGCCTGAGCACCCTTGTCTGCATCTCTGCGTGGACCCGACCCTCGACTCTCGCTCCCCCTAGGGTTCCAAGAGCCAGTTCTCGGCAGCAAAGCCGCCCAGAGTCAGTGTGGAGGGAGACGCAGCTCCGGGGGCTGAAGGAAGGGAGGCTCCCGTGCACAGGCTGGTTCGTGCCCCAGGCAGCGCGGGAGAGGGCTGGGCCCGCGGCACCTACCGAGCGAGTAGAGGGCGATCCTGCCGGTGAACTTGGAGAGCCTCCCGTACAGCAGGGAGCACAGCGAGTTGGTGGCCGAGAAGCAGATCATCACGTAGCCCACGAAGTGGATACCCAGCACGCAGGAGGTGTAGGACTGTGGGGAAGCAGAGGTGTGACACCGGCCTCAGCAGCACCCTGCGGGGGTGCTCCCGACCGCGGACCTAGGCAGACCGTCCTGGGGGCTGGCCGTGTCCTGTGGGGCCAGCAGCGGCTAGAGAAGATAGGAGACAATGACAGGTCTCCGTAACGGACACCAGAGGAGGGCGGGGAGCAGCCGAGCTGAGCGGCCTCAGCCATGCTGCCCTCTCGGGCCGGCATTCAGCACCCCACTCCTGTCCCTGGGCAGACCAAGAACAGACATGCAGGAGGGCTTGGGACTAGGACCGTGCCAGCACGTCTGGGCAGTCTTCGGCCAAAGTAGCAGGCCGGTGTCGGTGACAGGCCTGTGTGTGTGTGTGTGTGGGGGGGTGTTGTCCAGAGCACGAGTCATGTGACTTCCTCCCTCTTGCTTTCCCTCTTTGAACCTCTGAGCCGCTCTGTCAAGACTGTCCCAGTAGCAGAGTTGTCAGGGAACATCTCAGATACCCAAATGCCACACAGGATGTGCTGAGACCAAAAGACACAGTGACTGGTCTGAAATGCAAATGCCACTGGGCATGCTGCCTCCCTCTGGGCTGGCACTTTGGGGGAAGTGGACGGAGCACACTTGGTAAGTACTGGGGAGGGCATGACCACGAGGACAGGGCTGGGGGCTCTCGAAGGCCTCCTCAGCCTCACATCCGGTCTGACCCATGGGCCCCGCAGGATAGGACGCCCCACTGGCAGGTGGCCTGGAGAGTGGCAACGTTAGTGAGAAGTCCCGAGGGCGCTGGCTAGCGCCAGGGACAGCGGCCAATCTGTGCAGTCGTGGCCACTGCTCCTGCTGCCCCTGTGCAGCACGTGGACAGGCTGAGGGAGCAGGGGAGGGGGCCTGAAGACACGGGGCTGCCGAGTGTGACCGAGAGCACAACTCCCAAGGCCAGGACTTAGAGGGCCCCGGCGCCATGCGCGGACCAGCACTGCCCCCGAAGTTAGCTGAACAGTGGGAATGCAGGTGAGGTGTGGGCAGGCATGAGCGAGTTCTGGGTCCTGGAGGCCAGACTGCTCCATCCGCAGTCACTCCTCAGCCCAGGAGACGCATCGTCCCAGGGAAGAAGCTGAAGCACCTGAGGTCGGAAGTCCTGGTAGCTAGCATGGCCGACGGGGCCACTGCTCGCTGGGAGCCACACACGCCCAGTTCCCTGCAGCTGGCCAGGCAGGTAGCCCTCGCGGGGCACAGGCGGGCCAGTGCGGACACGTGCCGGCCGCCCGCTCCCACGCACCCTCGTGTACTCGCCCGAGAGGAAGCCCTGCTGCAGCCCGCTGTACAGCGGCAGGAGCACGAGCAGCTGCAGCCGCCGGTCCTTGAGCAGCCGGAACGTCGCCAGCAGCGTGGACCAGAACGCCAGCCTCTTCCTGTCGCTCTGCTGCTGAACGCTGTGCAAGGGCTCCAGAAACACGGCTATCAGCAAGACTGCCAGGACGCCGCTCCCTGGGGGAACAGAGGAGAGCGAGTCAGCGGCGACAGGCCTGGGGCGACGGGTTCATGGCAGTCGCTTCGTCCTTTAGAGACAGACAGATCCCCGACATCCCTCGCCTAACCGAAGCCTGCTCATGATGCCCGGTCGCACTTGGTCCCACACGTGGCGGTCTGTGACTGCTGGGGACGTCCAGGCCCCCACCCACCCGCAAACCTGCCCCGGCATGAAGCGTGACACCCAGGGAGGGACCCGATGTCGCCAGCATCCTTGCCCACTGATGGGCTTCTCATCCTACTCCTGGGGTAGTGATGTTTATGGCAGACAGTGAGAATGCCCACGAGCCACGGTCATCCATGTCCCCTCGTCCCCTTGGATGAGGCTTTGC